TTAAGCTTGTTTTTTGTTTTTTGTTTAATTTTATTGAAGTGTATTTTATTAAATATAATTTATTGTTTATAATAAGATTTTATATAACATACTCCTTCTGTCTCTAAAAACATTGAAGATTTTGATTTTTAAGAGATTGTAGGAGAGTATATTTTGGTGTTGAATTTTCAAAAATGTCCTTGAATGTAATAGGTAAAAATAAGATTTGATGGATAAATTAATAGTGAATAGACGTTATGTGATAGATATGTTTAAAATTAGTAGGGGCAAAAGTAATTTTTTAATAGAAATGAGTGTTGAAACAATAGACTTGGGCCCAATTCAACCCCAAAAGTTAACTCAAGAGGTTGAGGTACCCAAGCTATTAAATAGCAGCACAATATAAGGCTGCATGGCCGATGTGGGATGAACAAGTCAACACGCCCCCCTCACACGAGGCGCAGATTACTGCGGGCGCGGTCCCAACATCAATGGTCTAGCTCCGATACCATGTTGAAACAATAAACTTGGGTCCAATTCAACCCCAAAAGTTAACTCAAGAGGTTGAGGTACCCAAGCTATTAAATAGCAGCACAATATAAGGCTGCATAGTCGATGTGGGATGAACAAGTCAACAATGAGAAAACTTTTTTGGGACAGATGAAAAAAAAGGAAAAATCTTTTCATGGACCGGAGAATTAAACAATTTTTTGCATTCAATAAATGTTTAAAACAGAATTAATTGTTTTTTTGAATATTCCATGTTGTCTGTTTAAAAAACTAGGACCAATTATGCCCCATCTACCCAAATTCTTGGATCCGCCACTGTATACATTACTACTTTCATTTCGAAAAACAGTTCAACCTAATATATATGACTACCTCCGTTCCCAATATATGTTTTGGGAGTAATTTAGAAAATTTAGGTAGGATGGAAGTATTTTGTCGTATGCAAAAAAAATTAAAATGGAACAATTTTTCCAAACAGAGAGAGTTTAATTTATTCACTTTGATTGCAAAAAATCAAACTAGACAAATATAAAATTTATTTTGAAAGGAGAAGAATAAAATGTAATTATAATCCTCCGTATACTATTAGGAAAGAAACATTCAAATGAGAAAATAAGAAAAAGTTTTGCAATCCAATCTGGTATGGGCCCCATAACGGGCAAAATCCAACGGTAACAACGTTATATTTTATCATTGACTCCCCTGATTTTTGTGTCTAACAATTCGGATTCACCCAATTCTCCTTCATCCTAATTTAGTACCGTAATTTGTTGGGACAAAAGTTAATAAAATAAAAATCCGAGTAATTATGTTAATGTAGATGAGCCAATAAATTATGTTTTAAGAAATTTATTTACGGTTAAACAATACTAAAATATTGAATTTAGAGTATTAAGACTATGAAACTCCAAATTTTGATATTTTGTAGTAGAATTTTTTACGGTATTTGTTGGCATTTTGTTTTGTTATTACTTCGGTATAAGAACATTAAATATCATATTTTGACATAACCATATTTTAATGATATTTAGGTATTCTTCATCGCACCTTTTTTAATTAACTGAAAGTGACAAAATTATCTACGATAGATCACAATATACAATAGATATTGTCGGCATCTAGAAATAAAGAAACAATTCGATTTATTATTCTCGAAATTTTTTTTTTAAATTTATTTTAAAATTAGTAGAAAAGAAACATATATTTGAAAAGTATTTTGAATATATTCCGAACTTAACCATAGCCCACAGGTACGAGGTACCCACAAGGACTAAATCGAGCTTCATTTTTTAGGTCCGCTATGGGGACCAAAATAGACTCGAAGCTAAAAAATCTTGACTCGTATTGGTATAATATATCGATCCGATCTAAAATGCTACAAGGTTATTTAAAAATTATTTTGAATGCAGCCCAAACTCACTCGCGGCCCCACATGTACGAGGTACCCGAGGGCCAATTCGAACTTCAATTTTAGGTCCGCTATGTGAACCAAAACAGACTCGAAATAAAAAAAATCTCATAACGTTACATACTTTGTGCTAAATATCGGTTCAATTTGAAACGCGATTCGACCCGCACTTTGATCTGGTCTAAAGAACGGGGGTTTTGGAGCTTGACCGGTAACCTAACCCACGCCAACCTCTAGATCCATAGTCCAATTCAAATACGTGTGGGGTTGAATTAACCGACACGGTAACAATTCCCCTAAAACGTGTCCACCTCTAACTCTATCACCGCCTTTCTAACCGCCTATATATACTTCCCTTCCTCCCCTTTCTATCCCCATCTCGAAACCCTTCTTCGTTCTCTCTCATCATAAACGGATACAGTCCATCTCGATCTCTCTCTTCAATCGGAGTCTGTTTAGCTTGATTTCCTTGAAATCGTCAAAGAATGGCTTCTTCCAGGGCAGTTTTGGCTTTGATTTGTGTTCTCTTCGTCGGATCTGCTTTTGCTCAGGCTCCGGGAGCCGCCCCGACCAGATCTCCGACGAGATCTCCGTCTCCAGTCGTGTCGCCGCCGCCGCGGAAGGTGGTCCCGGCTCCGGCTTCTGCTCCGGTTGCGTCTCCGACTTTCGCTCCAACCGCTGAATCTCCTGCTGATGCTTCCCCTGTGAGTTCTCCGCCTGCTCCTGCCATCGCAGCGCCTCCCGCCGGATCTCCTGCAGCCGGCGTCGCTCCGTCCGTAGCGCTGACTCCCGGCGATGCTCCGGCCTCTACTCCCAACGGCGCCGTTCTGAACGGAGCCGCACTTATCGGATCTGCAGGTGCGGTGTTCTTCGCAGCCTCTCTGCTGTTCTAGATCTGACGCTGATATTTATCAATTTTAATTTTATTTTGAATACGCCGCGCGCTTGATTATTTTAGGGATCTCTATACATATTTCAGACATTCAATTTTTTTATTTGTTTCATCTTCGAGTACTTATCAGTTAGTGTGGAGAGTAATAGCCATTAGAGACCTGCTTGTATTCACATTCCGTTGCTGTTAAATATTATTGCCATTGATTATACTCCGTATTATGTTTTCTCTTACATTTATATATTGTTAAATTCTTTCTTCAATTTGTTCTGGTTTTAGCAAACAATTTGGTTCTGTTTTGTCATGTTTAAAATCAAATTTGATTCAAATTACGAATCCCAAGATTTTAAATTTTGAAATTGAAATTTGAACTACTTAAGTTCTCCAATTCTCCAAACACTACCTAAAGTACACCAACCAATGCTGAAAATTAATGTTTTAAATTTTAATTTATTTTGAAGATCCCATGTATACTCAAACTTTATTGAAGAATTTCATTAGAGCACTGGTAATGCTCCTCACGCCCACCGGCGTTACGGGGCGTTTAACGCCCCGGGGGCGTGGAACACCGCCCCCCGCCGGCGTGAAACGGGCGTGAGGAGCGCTGCGTCATTCGTTTGACGCGGCGTGAGGGCCGTTTTTTTTTGGCCGTTCCCCTTCCCAACCCTTCCCAACGGCTATAGAGCCGTTACCCCCCCCCCCCCAATTAA